AGGCTCTTTCAAGGAATTGTTTAAAAATGTATGCCGAGGGCCTCAGGGGTTTCTTAAGGTTTAGCGAGAGGTGAGGTCAGATAACCAAGATTCTAAAAGCTTTTCTTCAGCACGTGAGCGTAAATGCGCACAAAGAAGTCGACACGTGTGACCGTAGATCTCCATCCAGCTGTGCCCAGCCCTGAAGTGAAGAGATAATTAGCATTTACTGTATTTTGGAGTTTAAAGGAGCGCTGAGTCACTTATGTCTGAGTATATGTGCATTTAATTGAGGGTTAGTTTTGTTTTGTTTTTGTTTCAAATGTACAGCACCATATTTAAGTAGCTTGTAACTCTCTCATGCGCTTACACAATCACACGTTTCTGTTTACCAGGCTTCAGATCTTCTAAATGGGAACAAATATTTGGTCATTTTCAGCTCAGTTCTGCACCGTTGCCAACCCATGCCACTGGAGCAAGGGAAAGAAATGACACCAGCATTTCAAGAAATGTTGATGTTACCACTTGCAGCCGAACAAAGGAATAACTATTGCAGTTCGACACACAAGAACAGCAGCTGGTACAATTTTTTTAAAAACATAGTGTGACTTTCTTAGCCTGTAGGTGGCACTGATGAGCATTTGTGCATTTGCAAGCATAAACTACTTGTTTTTTGATATGATGGAAAAAATTAATCAATCCTTATTAATAAATCAATTTGTTAAATGACAGAATTAATAGAAAACACTTTTATTGATTACATAATTGATTTAGCTTGTGAATCAAAATTGTTTGCTCTCTAATTTTCTTTATATGTGTGTGTGTGTGTGTGTGTGTGTGTGTGTGTGTGTGTGTGTGTATGTGCGTAGACTGCAATGTGCCACACTTGATTTACAACACATTTGTGGCTGCAAATTCTTATACAGGCTCCTCCTCAAAGTGATAAAGATGTTTGCTTGTAGCTATAGATAATAATTATGTGTATATATAATTATTTTCTGGTAAAACTTTTTGTTAAGTCCCTTTATGTAGTGTTAATAAGCAGAACAAAAATTTATTTTCTGTGATTTTACTATAATTACTATAATTTTTACTATTATCTATATTTAAAAAAAAACAAGCAAAATTTGTAAACAGCAAATTGGTAAAAAAAAAAAAAAAAAAGACAGAGAGAGAGAGAGAGAAAAAAAATACAGATAAAAATGTCAATCTTCTATTTTTTTTTTTTTTTTACAATGTAGTATGTTATGGATTTTAACTGTGGGTCAAACAAAACAAGTTTTAAAAAAAAAAAAATCTTGGACTATATGGCATTTTATTACTCTTTTCTGACATTTCTGCCCTAAATGACAGATAGATTACAGAATAACTGACATTATCTGTTAGTGGGAGCCAAAATGTGAAGCTGCAACATCAAATTAAGAGTCACAACTAAAGCTGGAAAATATTCTGGGGATTTTCAGCAGTGACACCTTGTTTGCATGTGTGATTTTTTTTTGTCTGTGTGTGAGTCAGAAATGTGTCCCTTGCAGAAGTTCTACTTGTGTAAATAGCAGAAGGACGGGCATTTTTACATATAAACGCAAGATCAGTGTAAAATTTGGGAACTTCCACAGTAACCATTGCTATTTCAAGCTTCAACCAACCTGGTGGACATTTTGAACTCCTTGTTTTTGAAGTGAAAATATCTTTACACTGTACCTGTGCTGAAATCGCTGCCTTTGTCCTTTTCCTGTTTGATGATCTGATCTGTTTGTGCTTCATACTTGCTCTTATTGCCACCTCAGTGTGTGATTCACAGCCACAATAGAACAACTGCTTGACCTCCAGCTGAACCACAACACAATACAAGCCCAGATTAGAAAACACACCCTCAAAATACACACACACACACACACACACACACATATAGTGAGTTACCACCTGACTGCAGCCTCTTTGTTTCTTCGGAGCCAGGCGGAGGGCGAGGCTTCAGTCGTCATGTTCACACCCTTCCTGACCCAGCTAACCAGCATCCTGCTCCCCTATTGGTCTGCTCCCCATCTGGACTTGGTGTGCGTCTGCCTTCCCGTATGTGTGTGTGTGTGTGTGTGTGTGTGTGTGTGCGTGTGTGCGCTGGGGTGTGATGACTTGTGTTCTTGGCCATTTGTTAATAATTAAAGGCTAACTTGTCTCCAGACTGTGGACTTTAATCAGGTCACAGACACACACAGACTCCCTCAGGGTACATTCTTTGACAGTTCATGTTGCCTTAATGCTCCAGTGAACACACACACACAATGATACTCATAAACACGCTCACTTAGCCACAAACATGGAGTTATCCCAGCTGCACCTGGCCATTCAAAGCCAAGGTAACTGGAACCGCCTTTGAAACCTCAAACTCTTTTGATCCAAACGTTTGACAGGCCTCTGTAGGTGATTTGTATGTAATGTGTGTGCATGTTTGAAATGTGATGTGTGAGGTTTCACTCTCTCGTCTTTGACACTGGGAAGTTTCTCGCCTGGAACTGATTGTATTCTCGTAAAGCAATGCGCTGTAAAGTCATGTGTAGCATTGTGTGAGTTTCGGGTATTTTTCAAAGGACGTTCGCGCCGTTAACTGTCAAGCAGACGGCGTGAGTTTGCAGACGCGACAGATCAATTGGCAGTGAGAGATGCAGAGAGTGAACGGAGGAGGAGACGATGTCTAAAATTTGACAGAAAAAGTATGTTTAAGGCTATTGTCTGAAGTGATTTACTGGAGTGAGGTTAAGCGCGCTCGTATATATACACAGAAACTGCAGACACTTTCCAGTCACCTATACTTAACTACAGAGCCTGTCTAGTCTTTCCTTCTACTTTATGTGATTTATTCTTCATCACTTCACAAGATGTGGGTGCGAGTTGTGTAACTGCTTTTTACTAGTTCCTTCTTTTTCTTGTGGCCTGGAAATACAATCATTCTATGAATTATTGATGGTATTTTAGCAGTAAAATATACTTTTAACTCCTCCACAGCTGTAGAGGAGATGACAGCTGTAGTTACTTTTTATATGAAGATTTTCCATGAAAGGAAACATAGAATGTTTGGACGAGCATACAACAAATTATTAAGGATTAAGCCAGTGTTCCCCAATCCTGGTTCTTGTCATATTTCAGAAGTCTGAGTAGAAGTTTTATTTGTGCTCTAACTTTTACAAATGGCTTTATTTAAATACCGGTTTTGATTCCATTATTAGATGAAATTATCCAGCAGATCACAGAAAGGACAAAGATTTGTGACAACTCCCTAAAGTTAGTCTAAATTAAGCAGGAAGACAATGTTCTGACAACGTTCTGACAACATCTTTCATCCTATGATCCCTCAGCTTTATCTTGTGACCTTTTCGAGGGGGCCCAATCCCTAGCTTGGAAACCATTGAAGTGTAACAGGGTCTGATTTTTTCTTAGAATGAGAACTTTTGCTTTCAATATGTACAGTAATTTCAGTTCTTTCACTTGAATATGCCTTAAAAGTGTTTCTACTTTGTAATTTTAAGTAAACCATCTGACTGCTTTCTCATCTCTGGTTGTGAATCATCACTGGTTTCCACAGAAAACCAAACTGAACACCACCATTAATTCAGTTGTGAATGACTCTTAACAGTGTAAATGTGTTGTTAATTGTGTACGCTGATGTCTGATTGTATGTCTTGTGTTGCAGGAGCCTGGCCTGTGCAGCCATGCTGATGTATAATTACCCTCTGAAGACAGACATGGAGACGGTAAGGCACGTGTGCTTGTGTAAATGTAGCTTTGGGTGCTTGTGTGTGTTTTTGAGCGCTCCCATCATGCCCCAACATGTTTTTTGATGCCATACAGTAACTCTGACCTCGTGCACGCACGCACTCTCACACACCTACACACACTCCTGCTACGTGTCTAGACAGACTGGTTCCCACATTCCAGCTCTTCCTGGACAAACAGGCTGCTGCACAGTGGACATTTGCATACAATGGGTACACACACTGCCAGGCGAGCCAGCTAATGAACGCACACACACACACGCTGTACTCTGAGACATAACAGTTATCTGCTCCCAAACAGAAAATTTTTTTGGCTGGCTGTAGTTGTTTGTGTGGCAAAAACATGTTTTTCCCTGTTATTCAAAGCGGAACGGAAATTTCTAACTCTCTGCTCTTTTGTGTCCCTTCGCTGCTTCCTTCTTCTGCGTCCTTCCTTCTTCGTTCCTTCTCACAGTCATTCTACCCATTGCTGATGAAAACCCCAGAGCAGTCCGGAATGAGCTTCTCTCATCCCGCCTCCGTCTACCGGATGCACACCTTCGCCCAGGCTCACACCCCCAGCAATCCCACACACACCCAGCTGGAACCGGTGGACCTGTCTGTCAGCAAGCGTTCCTCCTCCACCTCCTCCTCCTCCTCCCCTCCCCGCTCCTCTGCATCCTCACCAGCCTCCTCTCGCAGCTCCCCGCCGTCCCCTTACAGCAGCCATGCTTCCCCCCGCTGCTCGCCCCCACACCACCAGCTGCGGTCGTCGCCCTCCCACGCCCTCCCGCCGCCCACTCCCTCACTTCCTTACCTGGCCCCCCTGCTCAGCTCGGGCTCCGGCGTCATCCAGGGGTCGGGGGTCATGCTACCCTCGATCATGGTGCCCCTGCCTGTCCTCTACCCCTCGCCACTTCACCTGCCCCAGCCGATAATGGTGAGCCCGCCCTGTGCCAGTGACGACGAACATCATCGGAACAGAGAGCTCAGGATAGGTGAGACATTATTTGTGATTTTATGCAGTTTGATTTGAGCTTTATTAGCAAAGAGATACTTGCATGCATCAAACATGAACCTGACACTAATCATTAATTAAAAACAAAAAAACACAACAACCCCCCCCAAAAAACATGGTGTACAAACACTGGGTGAAATTATGTAATGACAGTGACACACACAAAAAAAAAGAAGAAAAAAATTAGTGGATCAATATTAGTAATAAGACATCAGTAAAATGTATATATTAAAATACAATATGCCCATTTTCATCGTCTTAGTTTAGTGAAGGACAGGATTTTGTTTCCAGACACTTTCCTCTTAAACTCACATAAATCTTTTACTAAAAATGAGGAAGTGCTTTTCATTTCCTCTGTTCTTAGAATAACAGTTTCTGCAGATTCTTGTTTCATGAGGAAACAATTTTTTTTTTTAAATTCTGTTTTCTGTGGTCAGCTGGAGGTCAGCGACATCCACAGAGGTCATTGTATCTGAATTTTAGAGCTTTAACAGACAAGTAATCACTTAAAGAAACAGTTTTGCACACATCTTCTAAATACGTTTTATCTGTATTGTCTTTTTTGTTTATTTTCTGCAGTGGTCATCTTTAGGACCTTTGTGTAATCACAAAAACAATAATACTAGTACTAAGGGTTAAAATATAGATATATTCTGCAGTAAACTGTAACCTTAATAGTTGTGATATAGGAAAGTTCAAGAGATTGCCAGCATTACTATATGATGCATCCTCTGGGGACCATGACTGGCTTGTAATGCTCCAAATGCCAAAACAGTTTCTAGTCACTTTCCTGTCAGCATTTTTTCAAAGGTCCACAGGTGTTATTAATATTGGAAAAATAAACTGTGACTCCACATACTGTTGATAATTTACTAGTTACATTTTTTATTGGCTTCCTTACTTTTCTCCTAACTGCTTTTTTGTAAACACAGCCTGCAGTTCAACTGAAAAGGCCCTGAAACGAAAGAACGCAGAATGTTTTGTTCTTTGCAAAATCTGGTTTGAGCAAGCGGTTTATTTTTGGCAATTTTTTTAAAAAAAAAGGAAGATGGAATGTGATTTTGATGAAATGTTGCCATTTGAAGCTTCAGATCAAACAGCACATCACAGACGAGTAGTTTAAGGAACATCGGAAGGCCCAAAATCCAATCATTCTGTTTCCAATAAATGGTGTAATTTTGGCGATTTGTTACATAAAACCTGCTTTTCAAACCCGCTTTTAGGTTTTAGGTGTCAAACTATTATGCTTAACGTCTGTTCGTGTGACTAAATCATGACGATGCTGACTGCTGATGTTTGGTGATTGTCTTTCGTCTACCCAGCTCACTCCTCGAAGCCTCTGGAACTACGAGGAGAAGACCATGACCTCCACAAGCCGATCAAAACAGAGACTCGCCCTGAACTCGCCCATGACCCCCTCAGCCATGAGATGAAATCCTCCGTCATCAGGATACAACACGAGTACGAGTGACTAACACACAGACACACACTAAACTTACGGGTGTTGAAAGAAGCACCAAAGGTTTCACAAGTTTCACTGTCTGCTGCAGCACTTCCCCTTTAACTTTATATGGAAGTGGCGCTCAGAGACTCATTTTCAGTTTGATCCACGGTCTATTCCTGCTGTGACTTTATAAAGGCAGATGCTTCCACAGGATGAGGGATGGGTGTCAGTTAAAGTTGGCCGATAGTGGGATAGATAAGAGTTGTGATACACATACTGAAACGTCAAATTTTGATGCCTTAGTGCAACCGTACTGTGTGCTTGAACAGTAGTACAAGACGGAAAGAAAAACATGCCAGCCGAGCAAACATATTGGTAAATTAAAACCATGAGAGGGAACTTGTCTTAGTTTTGGTCATGTTTCCCCAGTGACGTTTGTCAAGAATGTATTGACGGTGAGACAAATTTCTCCAATCGCATTTTATTTTTATCTCAACCCAAAGAGCTTTGCATAAGTAGAAAGATGCATAAATGTGTCGATAAAGAGGATTTAAGGCAGGAAATATCTAAATATATCACGCTAAGAATGTGACTGAGCAGTCAGTTCCAGCTCAGACACCAAGCCTGCTGTCCTGATGTCTGTTACACGTCATCCCCTAAACTCCTCCCCTCATTTCTGTGGAGTTGAAATTATGTTTCAGTCTTAATGGGATGTTTAGATCACAAAAAGGTCAAACTCCTGCATGTTTGCTCAAGAGAACGTTCCACAGAGGAGGCAAGTTGAAAGAGATGAGTCTCAGATATGACACAGGACACAGTAACACAATAAATGACATAAACAAGACGTAAACATGCTTGCTTCACTGTATTTGGGGTGTGTCAGCTTTTGTCATTCCTCTGTGGCGTCTTTTTTCCTCTTCTTTCCTGTCCTGCCCGTCAGCCACGCCTCTCATTAGAAGCTGTTTACCTCGTGTCCCTATCTCCTTCTAGGAAGTGACAACGGGTTCATATCAGCCATCTTGATCGTATCTCCTCCTCCTTTTTTTCTCTCACCCATCCGCCTTACTCCCTCAGAGGCTCATTGTCCGATGCCTCCCCCACTTTCTCGCCCTCTTCCTTCACTCCTCTTCCTTCTTGCCTCCAGTCTCTCCTCTGTTTTGTGCCTGAGTGTTTCACCTCCGACAAAACAACGCTAAATAATTGCAGGTTTGTTATACATGTAATATTTAGGGGTTGCTAGCAGGTGTGTGTGTGTGTGTGTGTGTGTGTGTGTGTGTGTGTGAATAGAGAACAACTCATCCTTCACTGCAGTTGTCAGGGCGGTTGCTTTGCTTTCACAGGCCACTCTTGTCACTGTGCCAACCATGAAATAATTGGACCCGTAACAAAAAAAATGATCCGTCATCACCTCCTCTCAAAACACAACACAACACGCACACACACACACGCACATGCACACACATAAATGGATGAACAGTGTAAATACACCGTATCTTTGTGGTGAAAAGCTCAGATATGCTCGATGTGTATAATAATGATGGGTTGGCGTGTGTGTGCGCGCGCGTGTGTGTCAAGGGAATTTCAGCACATTCCTTTACGCAAAATTGATCTGTGTGGGATTCATATTTCAACACTCGACACCTGCTCTCAACTGCCACTTACACGCACTCACACACACACACACACACACACACACACACACACACACACACACACACAGTTTAATGAAAGACAACTCCTTCTGTTTTCTGACTGTGAAACATCTACTGTATTATCTTCAGCTTCTTTCTGTCATATTTTCCTCTTTTTGTTTCTGAGATTATGTTTTTGTCCAGAAAAGTTGTATTTGCACTCAATAAAGTGCAGATTTTTTTTAGAATCCTTATCTGTTTGAGCTCTGACACAAAAAAGAATTTTAAAATGATCTGCTTTGCACAGCTTTATGACTTGTGGCGCTCACTTTCAGATGCAAGTGAACGCTGCATGGAAGATTTGCATCAAATTCCAGTGAATGAACTGTTGAATGGTGAACACAAAAGCATCAGAGATGACAGAGGTGGAAGGACAAAGCAAAGGCGTGGTAGACTGGAAAAAGGCGGGAGGTGTTTTTCAACTTCCTGACTGGCAGACGTTGTTTTTGCACTGACGAGTAGCTGCAGCCAAATTACAAATGCATTTAGGTTTCGTCATCCCGAGGGAGGGTGTTGGTTCCCTCTGCTGGTCACATCAGATGGAGAGAGGTGAAGCAACAACTCTCTAACGTTGTTTTGTCCTCTCTGTGTCTCTCTTAGGAGTAACAACCCGTCAGTAATAGTTCATCCAGGCCCAAAGCATCCTCTCCCTGCCGACTCTCCAGACTCTCTGAAAAAGCGGAGAATCCACCGCTGCGACTTCAATGGCTGCAACAAAGTGTACACCAAGAGCTCCCACCTCAAAGCACATCGCAGGACACACACAGGTGAGAAGCTTCATTCATTTACAGGCTTCACTTTTACATCTTTTCATTTTACATTTTTAGAATCTTGACAAAAGGAGGGCATTATATTAGTTGCTGATCTATAAAAGTTGCTTTTTTTTCAATTCGGTTTGATTATTGTCTCCTTCCTCTGTCTGAGGTTGGTACAAAACGCTGCTGCTTGATTTATTACGGAGACAAAGAAGCACAGGATTCAACAGGTGTCAATGAGATGAAACCACATGTACAAATGCATTCAATCAATATTAATATGAAGTATATTTAACATGGAAATTGAGTTTATCACAATTAATGGACCTATGAAAGGGGGAAAAAACTTTTGGGAATATCAGCTAAACAATGAAACACTTAAAAAAATAATAATAATAATAGCTTTATTTGTACAGCATTTTCTGAAGACAAAGTTACAAAATGTTTTACAATAAATCAAATGTCAAATTAGACAAATAATGAAAACAAATATGTATGTTCTCAAATATGCAATATAACAAGATAAAACAGTAAAGTAAAAAAAAAAAAAAAAACACACACACATTTAAGACAACTTTTACTGCATCAAAGCAGCAAAAAGGACTATGACTGTGTCACCAATGTACCACCCAACAAGTGTAAAAGTCAGGATCAAGAAACCACAGTGTCATCCAAGGTATGATTTCACCTGAGTAATTTACACATTAGGGATTAAACCCTACAAAGGTTACATTAAATACTACTTTGCCAGACTATAATACAAATTAAGGCTGTGGCCCTAAAGTGTAATTAATTTCAGAGAATAACCTGACTAATGTAATAATAAAATTATGGTATTAGAGATTACAGAGCTTAAACTAACTGATATAAATATTATGGCCGAGACAATTACCTTAATATGCAACGCAGGTAATGAATGTTAGAGAGATGAAAGGTCAAACTCCAGAGTAACTCGTGACTTTAAAGGCATAGGTCTAATATCGCTGTCTTTGTTTAAGGGTTTCCTGACATTTTTGATTTATTGATCTGGTAGTTGCCCTCTTGGATCTTGAGATCTACAGAAAGAGCAGGTCATAGTTTGTGACAGCATGTGATCGAGCTTATTCCAGCACATTATGGAACCCTCTGCTAACTAAACTCATTTCCGAGCTTCATTTAAGTCTCTTCTTAAACCTTGTCTTTATGAATACTTTTCTAATTTTATTTACACTTTTTATTGACTTATCAGTATTATTTCCTCTGCACTCATTTCCTTTGACCTTATTTACTTTGAAACACTGTTCATAAAAGTGCTGTATAAATAAAGTTTATTGTCATTATTATTTACCAGTCTCATCTCATTTTTCCTCTTCGCAGGGGAGAAACCCTACAAGTGCATGTGGGAAGGCTGCACGTGGAAGTTCGCCCGTTCAGACGAGCTGACAAGACACTTCCGCAAGCACACGGGAGTCAAACCGTTCCAGTGTCCCGACTGTGAACGCAGCTTCTCTCGCTCTGACCACCTGGCTTTGCACAAGAAACGCCACCTTCTGGTGTGAAACCCTCCACCAGGCGACTTGAAACAAACTCCATGCTGAGTTCAATGTTGGACTGTACCACTTTGACTTTCAGGGGAGGGGGTAGGCTTAGAATGGCTGGCCTTACACATTGGACTCTGACATGGAGTGGGGAAATGTTCCTCAGGGTGCAAGTTTAGACCCTTTACACCTCATTAGCCTGAATATGAGCTGGTGTCAGCTTGCTACTCTGCAGATTTATCACCAGCTCATTTTTAATAGAAATGCGGTAGCTGTAGCAGACCTCTGATCAGCCGTGGAAGGTCCAGAGCGGCTGCAGAATCTCAGCTGGCCTGAGGGCAGCGCCGCCGTCTTCTAGATGCAGAACTGAACTGCATCAGTCTGTTGAAACCACACGGCATGCTCAAGCTTCTCTGTGCAACATGGGCTGTCATTCCTCTGCATGCATTCAAGTAAAAAATGTGGACTTCATCACACACTTCACACATGTTATTTGCTAGCTAGGCCAATAAAATGTGAAACTTTCCAGAATGTATCATATCACACCTACTGTGCATCGTGTCATACATACTTCAGCTTTTTTTTCTGTCATTAGCGCAGCTACCTGTGACATAACTCTAACTCCTCCTTCATGGACCGCCACATTAAAGCACCACACACCTCATCTGCCTCTACAAGCTTACATCATGAAGGGATGACAGGTAGCTAATGCTCGCTTTCTCTTGAACACACATTTACCAGCACACACAACAGAATACATGCACTTATTAAAAAGCAGCTCAGCCTTGGTCTCCTGTGCTCTGGGGTTTAAAAAAGAAAAAAATTGGGGCTGTGGGTCTCGTTCATTGTCAGAGTGAAGTGTTTTTTATGTTTTCATTCAGAAATGTGAAAGTTGCTGCACAGGGGCATTATTGTGTTTGTGAGGAAAAGACACCACTCGGTTGGTTTAAGGGTAGAAGCAATGAAATATCTTAACGTTGTCTTATATCAAGTTTATGTATCTATGTTTTTGGTTTGTGATGTGACACCGTGGTAGCCTTTTTAAAAAATTTTTTTATTGTTTGACACTTTTATATGGGAAAAATACAAAGTGCAAAGCAGGGAAATTTGCTCTTAATTTTTTGTTTTTCTGGAGCAGTTGAGTTTTATTCCAGCTAACCTTACAGGTGTTTTGACTTTTAATTTATACACGCTCCATATTTCAATATTCCCCGATGATTCTATGATTCTAGTCCAAGGTTCCTAAGATAGTAAATATTCTACAAGTAAACGCCATCATGTTTTTAGAGCACAATGTTTTACAGCTTCTGGAGAACAAAAAAGTTTTGTTGTTAGCGTCTTTGTACATCTCCAATGTGCACTTTATATACATATATATATATATAAATACAGTATATTGTATAACATTCCCAAAGGCAAATATTTTAAACGCATCATAGGTTTGCTAGTCGTTCTGATCAGAAACATTCAGCAGGTGTCTTGGTTTGTCATTTGTTTTTATCTTGTAATGCCAGAAGAAGGTGTGACAATTCATTTATTCACATGTACACATCCTCACACATAAACACGCACCGAATGTAGCGCCTCAACTCATCTACATTTGCTCCTGGATACTCTTTGCAGTTTTTTTTGCTTGTATATGTTTTTTGTATCTTTGCAAACACAAGTTGTAATATATATACATATATATATATAAATATATATTAATTGATTATTAGACTGAAAGGGCAATTAAAGGTTTTTATTAAGCATGATTTTGATACTCTATTATACATTTCTATAATGTTGTGTCTATATCTCTTTTTAATCTATACATTGGCAATTCAAAGGGAACGTGTTAAACTGTGAACAGGTCTATCTGCAATTTTTGCATTTTTAAACAGAATATTCATACCACTTAATAAACTTATTGGTAATATTTGCAGAATGCGTTGTTGTGTCATCAATTCTCTGTGTGTCTGTTCATGAAGCACATTCGTTTATCAAGAGATCAAATCTGCTTTGATCACTACTTACTCATTTACTGATTGATTGATGTCAAAAAATAAAGTGTAAAAAAATCCAACAAAACATTCTCTGGTTTCAGCTCTTCAAATGTGAAACGGTTCATGGTGCAAATTCATTCCTCTTTGTTATGTTATAAGAGGTAATCAGAGCTGATGGTGTAAGACAAATACTAGAAGCTAAATGAGTTATAGATCAATAGTTATAGCACAAGTTAGATTTAGCTACATACACAGGCAGGCACATATTATAGGCACAGTTACTATCATCAACTTTCAAAGAACCTTTCAAAATTTGTTGCAGGATTGGATTTTTACTACTATCACTATTACAGGTTATTCAACTGATACAAAAGCTACTTTGGATCCATATTGCGTATTAGGGAGGAACATTCAGCATCGTTAGAGTTGCTTATGTAAATTTACGTAAATATGTTATTTTCATGACGTTTCTGCCGTGCAAAAAGAAACTGAAAATGAGGGCTCGTCCGGGATTTGAACCCGGGACCTCTCGCACCCTAAGCGAGAATCATACCCCTAGACCAACGAGCCGGTGCGAAGGGAGGCCACGTACAAAGTATATGAAGATTGATCAGTGCTATGAGTTTGTGAGAATTAATATGTTTTGTTTGTTTGGTACGGTGATAAACATTGTTCAGTTGTTCGTTTCAATAAGCTACCACGCAAATTAAATGTATTTCCTAGACGAACACAAGAAAGCAGATGGATTGAGATAATTCACTCCCGCCTACATGCGATTTCGCTTCGGTCTGACTATCGTTTTACACTGTTAAGACGAATTTATGGCATATTGTGAAAATTGCAATGTCGTTAACATTTAAAAATCCGCATATATTGAAGTCTAACTGCACTTTCAGTTTGTGAGGAGTGGTTGTAATTGTATAAATGGTACAAAACCTGTTTCTCTGCATGCAGGGGTTGTAGTGTTTGCTAACAATTACAGCTTTGTTACCGTCCGGGACGACGCTGAAGTCAGGTTCTAATAGGAACGTTAAGGGGAACGTTAATGGTACCTGAAATTCCAGCATCCACGTTCTAATGATATAAAACCGTGTGAAACATTTGAGACAAAGTCTTTATGGCGTCTGAAACCCACTTTCACACTTGAGAAACTTTTATTCTGTTTTAGAATTTAAAATGTTCAATTTTTTTCATATTGTATTGAGAATGAACAACAGAACATCTTTGCCATAATCTAGTCCAGATTTGAAGAGCACATGTAATGTGATTTTATATCAGTCAGTCCTTGGTTGTAGAGCTAAACGTGGCCTAATTTGTGCAAAGTGCAAAATCAATTAATTAATAAATTTTTAAAAGGCAGAAAAAAAGAAAGACAAAAGCAGCAATGAAGTCTCAAATCAAAAACAGGGATTTAATAAGTTTTTAAACCTGCGTGGAAAGCTTGCTATGACAAAATGGGACAGCTGAACGAACAAATAGGACTGTGTTGGGGACATGATAAAAATAGTCTGAAAGTCCTGTTTAAATATTGTTTTTTTTAGGTTTTCAAATTTGTTGTTTAATTTCCATTGTGTGGTTATTTGAAGACAATACATTTTTGACATTACCCCTCTTCTTAAATGTTTCTGTTAAATGAAGATATAAGGTGTCTCATTATGACAATGAAGGCATCCCATTTTGTCTGAAGCGCCTGTAAAAAAAAAAAGAAAGTAGTTTTTATATTAGCGCCAATATCACTACCTTACAAAAAATGTCACTAAACCAATGTTCCAGGCACTTTATAAACGCTTTGTTACTGGTATGCACTGAGCTCCACTTTGATTTATTTTTTGAGATTAGTGCCACTAACACCACTACCCCAAGAAAAATGTTACTGAATGAACTTGTCAAAGCTCTTGTAAATACTTTGTTACTGGTTGTGTAAGTATCATTGAAATGTTTCTCTCTTCTTTTTTTTTTTCCAGTTTGTTGCTTTTTCTTTTATTTATGATAAACACACACACACACACACACACACACACACACACACACACACATTTTTTGTTTTTTAACCATAGAGGGGCAAATCATATATGGCAACTTTATTAATTTTGATTTGCAACATTTTTTTAATTCACAAAAGCAAAAAATATCTTGAAATATCCTTCAATAGCACCCTGTTTTTGAAATGTTCATTTTCCAAGTATTTCAAGGAGCGCCCTATAAAGGGTTAAGGGTTTTCCAGCATTATAACGTTGTGAGTTAGGAGTCCCTTAACTTCGAACCTGAGTCTGACTTCATCCAGGTTCCTCAGCGGCCGCTCCGGAGGTGAACCATCTTGTCAGCGGAGACTCTTGGGGCTCTGAGCGGCCTGCCGACGTGGCGGGGCGGAACAGGAGCCGCTGGCACTGAACGGGTGAGCTGCACTGTCACTTTCACATAAAACAAAACTGTCTTAAAGTTTCCTTTAGTCTTTAACAACCGAATGGCATAAACATGCAACCAAATCGGAATTTGTCGCTCAAAGTATCCGCTGCGGCGCTGAAAATGTGTTTGTTTTTCTCGTTAGGAAGCTAAGAAACACATATTGTCATGCTAGTTTTTAAAATACAGTTTAACAGTTCATTATGTCCAGTTGTCATGCTGTGGTAACGTTTCAAATAGCGTTAAAAGAAGCAGAGGACTCGTTTATCTGTGTTAAATAAGATGTCACCAGTCTGAAATGATCAATTTCACCGGTTTTAGGGTCACTGCAGCTCACAGGCAACCTGTTATCACCCGTCAGAGGGGGCTGTGCCTTCAGTGCTCCATTTTAAGTGTTATTCTCACATCACAGTATGCTGATTGTAACTTTTTTTAAAAGGGTCTTGGAGCAACATTTTCTTTTTTTGGACTTTAAAAAAACAAAAATTGAAATTAAAAAGCACTTTATCTACCGTGTTGCAGGTTTATCAAAGATGAGATTTTGCTAAATGTCATTTTGTTGCCAGAAAACAGGCTAAAATCAACAAACTTAGCAGTGACTACAAACAGTGGGTGACAGTCATGTGAACGCCTGTGCAGCTACTGACCACAAGGTGGAGGTATTGAACATGAACTGAGAACCATCAGCACTGTTTTACTGTATTTTATGGATGAGTCAATGAGCAAATTATTAAGTGTGTCAGAATTTTGCCTTTAAATCTCAGTTAAGCGTAAATAAAATTCAATAAATGTGAAGTTTTGCTGCTGAAATGATTGCCACTTATCTTGGTATTGTGGTGAAATGTATGCAAACTCAGCTTGCATTGATTTAGAGATTTACGTCTCTGAACTTTGTACTAACTGGATGACTGTATTGAATGGACTCTGATTTTGGTGTTTTGCAGTTGCTAAGCAAATATCATCATTTTGTGTTTACAGGTAAGAGATGAGCAAGTCAGGTTGTGTATTTACATTCAAGACCCTGCAGCCATTGTCCTCCCACAGAGATATTTTCACTTGTGCTTCCTGATTAAACCTCTTTTCAGGACTGCGATTGTTTGACATCTCACTTTTCTTTTAGATATTGCAATTTACACAGTTATTGTTATTTGCTCACAGTGTGGAGACGTGGTGTAACTCCCAGCAGAGATGCACTCAATGTAATCCTGCTGAGAGGTCTAATCCGCCAGCGTAATTAAAAGCAACTGTGTGAATGACTGTGCAAAGCCTCAAGAGTTTCTCATTTTAAATTACATGTAAAAAAAAAGAAAAAAGAAAAAAAGGGTGAGAAAACAAACAACATGCAAATGGTGTCTTGTTATCAGAGAGAAAACTGTAATTGCTATGCATCATGTCTGTCACCTTCAAGAAATATAACATCCTTAAGTTTAGATTTCTGTTCGCAATATTTTTATTAAAGGTTTTATTAAATGGAAATAGTTTTTTATTGTGTTGGTGGTTGTTATGAACTTGGAGGTCTAAAATAAGAGCTGACATCGGCCATTCCTTGTGCCTCCCCACAACTAGTTAGCCTCTCAACTGTACAAACAAATAAGAATTTGATCCAGGTGCGCCCTTACACCTGACTAACCAATCGTAATAATAATAACTGGCAGCATGTTTTCTTCCTGAAGGAGATAGGAACATCAGCAGCTCATTTGTTTTCAGATCTAAGAAGCCCACTGAGACCAGGGATTATACAGTCATAATGAAATGAAACATCTGTACGGAATTTTGAGTTAAAAAAACTGAAAGACACTGTGAGACTTTATATAATTTGCTTCAAAGCGGCGCAGTATGGGACATTTAAAGACCGACAGATCAATAGTTACTCAACTAAACCCATTCAACTCTTCCAGATCACCATGTCCCAGGCTGCCTCCTCTGACGTAGACCTCTCCACGGACCCCACTCCTCCACCTGCCCAGCCCCACCATGCTGAACCCGGTTCAGACGTCCCAGCAACCCTCACGCCTCCATCGCCCCCACTGCAGCCTCCTTTAATCCCCGAGAGTGTCGTGCTCCCACACTCCAACGAGGAGATGGCCAAAGAGGACCATGCCACTAAAACTGATATCTCAGGGGAAAGTCAGGTGGACCAACCAGAGCCTCCTGCTGAGAGTCAGGTGATTGAATGCGACCAACCAGTGAGCCTGGAGCCGGACAACGAGGCCACAGAGGAGGATGCGGAGGTTTGTAGTACAAGTTTATCTACTTGTGGTTTCATGTTGTGCACACAGCACTGTGCAAAAGTTTTAGTAAAGTCAAGATGCCTCTATGATGCCTTTAAGATTTTTTAATGATTAAGTTCTGGCATCCAAAGTGTCATGAAGACACAAAAACTACTCAGTATTTAGTGTCAACACCCTTTGCTTTTAGAACAGCACCAGTTCATGTTGGTACACACAGATTTTTAAGGTTGTTCAGCTTCTTGAAAACCTGCTGCAGTTCTTCTGTGGATTCAGGCTGTCACGAGGTCTTCTGTCTCTTTTATCCAAGACTGACTCCATGAGGTTTAGATCAGGGCTCTGTGGGTTCAGACCATCTGTTGCCGGACTCCTTGTTTTTCTGAAGATAGTTGTTTATGGCTCTGGTCTTATTAGATAGATAGATAGATAGATAGATAGATAGATAGATAGATAGATAGATAGATAGATAGATAGAACTTTATTGTCATTCAATTAGTCCATTAAAAGAAATTAAAATACACTTAGAACGAAATTACGAGCACAGGTGACAAACGAAATAACAAAACAGAAAAACCTAGAAGTGGTCAAAGGAAAGACGGGTACCCGAACAAATAAAACTAGAAACCATTTTAGATTGCACTATGGGCCTGAAAAATAAATGTTACTGGTGGTTGTTATCATGATGCAGAATGAGTTTTGAAGCCATACTTAAGTCAATCTGGGTCTTTAAGCTCAATGCCAGTCGCAATGTTTGATAGTTTAAATATCTAATTATTATATGGTCTATTGTATCATTTAATATCAGCTTTTTTTTTGACATATATAACAACTTCACTGCTGTTTGGTGGACAAATTATCATGGGGGAGACTTTCTAAATGACCTCAAACATGTATTTGGCCTGTTTTTTTTTTTTACTCCACCTTCTATTTAATAAACAGCCAGCATATGCTGTTCATTGACACAGACTCATCCACAGTTAACTAAAAGCAACCATGAGTGAATGGAATTATGAGTAAACATATGAATTACACAATTATTTTGATAGTTGGATGATTTTTTTTTTTTTATTGCAAGCAGAAATGTCAATATACAGGTGGTTCCAGCTTGTTGGTGGGGTTGATGTTGTGATTTTCTTAGTGTTAAGTGATATTAAAGTACAATGTACCTGGAGATTTGGGAAACTGTGTTTTTATAATATCCATTATATATATATTTACAATTTTCTAGCATTTTATTGAGCAAAAAATTATTTGATGGTGAAAAAAATTGTTAATTGCAATTATGCGTACAAAAGGTTTGTTTTCTGACTGATACTGTGATTTAAATGTGTGTGCAGAGTTCTCTTCATGAGCAAGAAAAAGGTTGGGGAGGCTGGAGTTCATGGGGAAAATCTCTTCTGAGCAGCGCCACCTCTACTGTGGGTACGTCCTCTGTTTAAACTTGTGTCTCATTTCATTTTACTCCTCGACTGTGTTTCTTCTTCTGGCTGCTGCTGGTTTATATTCTGTCCAAATTGTTTATTAGATAGCTTAGGAAACCCCTCTCCACTCACCTTTCTGATGTTGGATTGAAAAAGGTCTGTGTCCAACCAGTTCTGTAACTTTCTGAAACGGACACTTGCACCAAGTCATGCTGTGACGTGTGAAAATGTGAAAGGAGCCACAGTTCAAGCTTCTCTCTTAAGCTCTTTCTTCATTCCTGACACGGTGATTTGTGGCTCTTTTCAAGCAAACAACCAAGAGCAACGCGATGAATTTTTTCATATTTTTGTATAGAAATAATATCACTTCTCTTCCCTCTGTATGGTCAGTTACTTACGCTGCTGTCACAGAAAAACTACACGTATTTTTGATGGCTTTGAAGCACATCTCATGAACTAGTTCTGACAGAGACAGAGATAAACCACACTCACACTCCCTCCACATCTCTGCAAGTGTTTAACTTTTCACATTTCTGCGTGCAGGCCAGAGCCTGACCTCAGTTAAGGTGAAGGCAGGAGAGGCTCTTCGTCTCCACAGGACCTCAGTAGGAGAGGAGGCACAAGAAGAGGAGGACGGAGCAGAGGAGCAGCAAGAGGGAGGAGGCGAGAGTGGAGAGGCAAACATGTCCAGCTCTGGGGAGTCGTCTTCTCCGAGTGCTGCTGCAGCTTCGAGCAGAGGAGTTTTCTCTACTATCACACACGCTGTGCAAAACACTGTGAGTCAATGCCCACACAGACGCACTGCAAAACAATATATATATAAATTCTGCTCTGGAAGTTTCCACCAAATAGCTGTTATATTTTTTTTATAACAAACTAGGCTTTTGGATTACATTGTGCTGCTCTAATGCCATGTGACAGTAGAAGCTGCTAAAAGTAACAGTACATAAGGATAAAGAATGTTTTCAGTGCACAGTTGTCTATAATCATCCAGCCTAAGGTATCAGGTTACAAACAAACAAAAGCAACTGCACTAGAACAGACTGCTACTTTTGTGCCGCATAATGTAAGTCTTAAAATCATTCACCAACGAATTCTATTCGTTTTCAAAAGTACTAAGCGTAGCACAGTGGTATCAGCATTGTTTCCAATAATACTTGTAATTGCCAGCAAGGGTTTGTTGTTACAGCAAAATGGGGGCAGTGCAGGGGTGTTATTAATTAAAATCTCTAGATAAATCTGTTACAGAAATATCAATATGTACGTTGACTACATCTAATTTTGCTGGAGTTCATAGTTGCATAGGAAATACATTTTAAAAAGTCAATATTTATTTGGCCACAGATTTGACCAAAAGAAAGCAAAAAAAACTTTTAACCTAAACTACCTAATAAAAGTGGAATTCCAGAGCTTCTATTGTAATACAACACTCCATGGGGTGGTAAGTAAAAACATAATTCACTAATACATTATATATTTAATATAGACCCTGCGATAGACTGGCGACCTGTCCCCTGCTTTCGCTCTAAGTCAGCTGGGATAGGCTCCAGCCCCCCCCACGACCCTAGTGAGGATTAAGCGGTATATAGATAATGGATAATGGATATTTAATATAAATGTGAACTATCAAAAACTAAAATTAATAAGTTAAACTTGTGAGTTGTTCATCGTGATTTTGACTCAGAATTCAATTCAATTTGAAAATGACTTTCTCATAGTTGTAAGTTCTTTTTAAAGTATACAGTATTTATTTATGTTAACTAAAGTAAAAAGCAGGGTTATGTGTGTTATGGAGTAGTTTTGTTTTAATCACTCATGAATTATTTTAACACTTCCAGATGGAATGGTTTTCTATAGTTTGAATTTTTATGTGTGTCTTTGTCTGTCTGTCTTACAGGGTAAGTCGGTGATCAGTGGAGGTCTGGATGCTTTGGAGTTCATTGGAAAGAAAACCATGATTGTTCTAGCTGAAAGTGACCCAGGATTCAAAAAGACCAAAACCCTGATGCAGAAAACTGCTTCGCTGAGTCAGGCATGTGGACTCACACACAGAATCACAAAAAGCTAATGTGTCTTGAAAAAAAAAAGTTAGGTTTTGCATGGACAAAATAATTCGGTGGTTTCATGTGGAATTCTAGTGGGCATAAATTTAATAAATGCAAGCCACTAATTATGTATTTTTGTGACATTCTGATTTTTCAGATGCTGAAGGAAGCCAAGGAGAAGGAGAGGGCACGTCTGAGCAATCAACCAATCAGTGCACCAACAGCTCACTACGGTATTCTGTTTGATGACTACCAAGGTTTGTCGCACCTCGAGGCCCTGGAGATCCTGTCCAATGAGAGCGAGGCAAAGGTGAGGCACAAGTGTCTGGAGTATAGAGCACTCCTCAGAAACACAGCACGTTTAAAACACAGGACTAATAGTCATATATCTGACCTTAGGTCCAAGCCTTTCTCTCCTCTCTGGCGGAAGAGGAGCAGGAGGAGGTGAAGAAGGAGCTGATTTTCATCAAAGAGATTTTCATCAAGCAAGAGGAGGAGGAGGAGGAGGAAGGACAAGAAAAAGAAGGAGAAGGAGAAGGACTGACGAAGGATAACGGTGATCTAAGTTCCCAATTACACTGTTCTACCCCCTTATGTGAGTGACCCAGACCAGGTAGAGGTGGAGGCGATCCCTGAGCACTGACCCAAGATCAGGCACCCTTTGGCCTAGGGACACATGCTGATATTGGATCATAGGCAATTATGTTTCACTTTGGTTGAATTTCTGTTCAGTTTTTCCAGCAGTAGGCAAACATCTTGCTTTTGCTCACATCCAGTGGTTCAATCTTGCTGCAGTGATGCAGAAGTTACCTTTAGGATGTGATCAGCACGCTGTGATACAGTGTTAGAAGTAAAAGAGCCTAAAGGAATCTTTCAGAGTTCCTCACTATCGCCACTGAGGAGGAATCTTTAAACTAGAAACAGTTTTAGAGGAACCCCTCAGTTTGAACTCTTTATTGTTATTGTTATTATTGTTGTTATGAATAGATAGCTCACAGTAACAAATTGTTGATTAAAGTAACAAATAGTTTGCTAAAAGTAACAGATAGCTAAAAGAAATTGATTAAATAGTTAACAAAAAACAATAAATAACTAAAAGTAAACAGTTAAATGTTCAGTAAAATTATTAGTTAGCTAAAAGTAGGGAATTAAATAATTAGCTAAAACTACTTAATAGATAAAAGTAATGTATTAGCGATTTGCTAACTATTTATTACTTTGAGCTCATTAATAATTACTTTTAAGCTAATTATTACTTTTAGCTTACTATATATATTATTGTTATTATTATTTTCATATAATTATTATTATTTATAGATTGAAGTTTTTATAAATTTAAAACAGGAGTAATTTTAAAAAGTGTAAATGCAGGCATAAGGTGTCAGGTCTACTCCTAATTCTAGAGGAACCCCTCTTATTAAGGTTCCTCCAGGAAGGAGAGGAACCGCTCAAGCAAGCAGGCTTCCTTGAAGATCTTCAAGGTTCCTTGAGGCTCTCCTATTTCTAAAGAGTGCTGTCAAGCAGAGCATAGTCAAATAAGGAACAGAGTATTCAAACACTCCTTTTCAGCTTTTTGTTACTCTTTAGTGACCTTATCGGGACATATTGATGTTTTATCCCCTTTATGTAAATTTGCAGAAACTGAACATTATTACCACTGGCCATTTTCCAAAAGAACTTAAATCTTGATATATTTTTTGTCGCAGTCAGTCTCCTCGTCGTCGGTGCAGTGAGGCCTTTGGAATGAGCTGCAGAATTTTTTAAAGGGTGCTCCATCAGTTTTATGCACAAAGATGTGTTTACTAGTCATGTGGAGTTTGAAATATGTGGGTATTTACTGTGCAGTGATGGTTAAACAAAAGACACTGTGGCGTTGCATTATAGTACGTGGAGGAGCCATTGCTTCTTATACAACCCTATGAAAGTGCGACACTAAATTGATGGAGTATTCCTTGTTCTCTTCACACCTTGTGATAACGACACACATCTGTATTACTACCACAAGTAGTGATAGAGAATGACGACATCTTATTGCAAGAACATGAAAGATGCTGTCAGACTTCATTGACTATTCAACTATACTGTCGCCCCTGATTTAACTTCTGTCCACTCCCACTCCTGGGACTAACTCCTGTCCATCTAACCTGCGGAAGAAAAAAAACCGAAACCATACTCCCTCATCACAGGTCCTGTAGCAACATTATTAGTCGGAATGCAGAGTCTTAAATTTTAGTTAAAAAACAGAATGTGGTAGGGTTGTTAATATTTTCTCTCCTTGGAAAAGCTGCAGTAACCTGTTGTGACATTTCATAGCAAACATGACAAAATGGTGAATATTTTAACTGCTCTCTGTTGATGCTGGTTGTTACTGACACTCAATGATTGAAGCAGAGAATATATAAATTTTGGATGAGGAACAAGTTGAAAGAGCCTCCTGAGCTTCCAGAAACATGCAGAATATCTTCCTTTCTGCACCAAAAGAAAAACTCTCTGAGCCAGTCAACCCCCTAGTAATATTATGTATCCCTTTAGCTCAGGCAAAACACTGATTTCAGTATCTAATATGACAGATATACTTAACTGGCAGTGTGATCACTGATGTGATGGTATTAATCCCAAACATCTCTATCTGAACTGACCATTCTGTTTTAATCACTACATTATCTCAGCTGTCAGTCTGTGACATTATGTCATGATTGAGGTCAGAAGCAGAGAAGCAGCCAGAAGGGATTCAGTTTCAGAGACATTTCAGCAGAGAAGCTGTCAAACTGTCCAAAGTATAGACTATTTTAATATTGTTCCTTGTGTTAGAGTTAGACAATCTAATTTCTCACAAAAGTGACTGTGTTGTTTTGAATAATAGTTTCTGTGTGTTGTAGCACAAACAAATTAATTCTTCTCTTCACAAAAGAACGGAAAAACTCAGACCCTTATGGGAATCAGTGTTGGAGGCGTTTTGTTCCTGATATTCAGCCAAAGGAGGATAAAATGTTCTACCAAAGTGAAACTCTGTGTCAAGGGGATGCTATGAGATGCCGAGTTTTGGTTTTTATCATATGTCACCTGCCTCTTCTCACTTCACATTTTAAAGGGTTTATGTAAACTTGTGACAGGCACCTTGAGGCGATGTCACAGCAGTGCACAGTTCAAAGCAGGCAGGTGTCCCTTTATCTGGAGGGCTGAACACGGTGCCTGATCCAGTGTTGGTGTTCAGGGGCCACTGACACATTCACATCACAGACTCAAGGAAAACCAACAGAAACAATCCACCAGAATAAGACATTCAATCTGCATGTGTGCACCTTCGATTTGAAACTCTGGCTGTAATTTAGACTCAGGAGTCTGAATTAAGTTGGCATGAAAACAAGAATCAGCTGTTTGCTGAAGGCAAAGAAGAATATTATCATCGTGATTTCAGCATGAGGGAAATCAAACCAGTACTGATATGTAGCACAAATCTGCATGTAGCATCTATGCCTTTAGTGCACATATTCTATGTAAACAGAAGTGTGCTGACATGAGGTGAATGTATGTATTTGTGTTTTTAATTTTTTTTCAGCTGCTGACGGCGAAGAGTTTGTGAGTGTTCTCACTGAGCTGCTGTTTGAGCTTCATGTTGCTGCCACACCAGACAAACTCAACAAGGTGACACACACACACACAAACAGAAAATCATACACACATATGTACACAGTGGTTTTCCAGCAATCACAACAATATTCATTGACTTTCAGGACTAATTAGTAAATCCTTTAGTCTATGTTTCATAAGATAGTGTATGCACATCCTTGACATAAAAGCAAGAACAGACTCAAGAGAAAATGGCGCTTGCGCACTAAATAGATGCTCCCGTAAGCACAATTTAGTAAATGCAATTACTATGCTTTGTGTGTTATGAATGCATCAGTTTGTTTACAATATTTACAACAAACTCAAATATATTACTTCTGTAGCTTACAGGGATGCGATCAAATGCCTATCTCCCAGACGGAAAGATAATCTTAGTGTAGTGATAAAGCTAGTAGTTGGAATGAATATTTTTTAGGATTCATCTTACCATTTCAAAACATGTTACACGAGATATACAGCTGCTTGAGTTTCAGTGCAAATCCATCAAAATGAAGACACTTTGCACAACTCTTTTCCAGTGTACCAATCTATTTCCACACAATATTTTTTTAAATAAACCTCCTTAACCTTACTAAAAGTGAGCATTGTATTAGTTATTGTGTTAACTGATTATATTTAAACACTATATAATTAGTTCAATAGAACACTCCAATCTTTCCTTTTGCCATTTGTATGTGATTCACAGACACTTACGTTGTTTTTGGTGGATTTGGCAAATATTCCATAACAATGTTTCAGCATGTTGTAATTTAAGTGTCTTGAGTAGAAAGTAGACTTCTGCACCTTCTACTGGATTCACTTCAGGCTTTAGAAAATGTAGGCCAGAGAGGAGAGCTGCAAGATAAGGGCTGGATTTCTTTTTAACTTTTTAAAATTTGAAACCTCTTGCAGCTCTTCCCCTGGTGTCCTATGCCCCTCCCATCAGATTAGCACATCCACCCAAGACAAGCTTCACAGCAGCAACGTCATAGTTGAGTGGTTAGAGTGCACCACATGGGTGCAAATGCCATCAGCAGCAAGTGCCCAGTTCAAATCCTGGCTGCTGACATTTACTACATGTCATTCCCCTGCTTACTTTTCCTGTTTAAAAAAACACAAGGTTGATCGATAGGCTTGTCCAGGGTCACCTGTCAGCCAGCCATCCGAGGAATTTGTTGTGTCATGTAGCTGAACGTTATGTTCAGCTGCCATGGCTGAGTCTCAGGTGAGATAAATCTGCCTTTCATTTTTTGGGTTGTAGGCAGTTATTGCCAAAACTGGGATAACAGCTCTTCCTGCAGGATTTGCAGCCAGTGAATCAGGCTTTGTGCCACCCATGCATCTGCATTGTGGAATCGGATCACTCTCTCTCTGAAAAGATCGAGGATTGTCTCCCATCATGGACTAGAAGTGCAAAAGCCTAGTGGGCTGTAGTTTCCTCACTGCTTGAATGACACTATGCTGAAAGGTTAAAAATTACTGCCTATTCCAGCTTTAATGCAACAAGTTTGAGCTCCATTTCTATGAAAATCCATGAAATTAGTGACTAAATTAGATTAGGTCAATTAAAGTTGCATCAAAAAGTATAAACTAATTTCAGAAAAATACTTATCATAAACATACATGGACAAAACATCATCCTTCCTGTCCACTTTCAGGAATTTGGTCAAGAGAGCTACAGAAATACACACACACCCATTGCATATTTAACTTCCACTCCCTCCTTCTGCAGTTGCACACATAATATGAAAGTTATCACCTTTGAAGTCCCTTTGCATAATCAAATTCACATATATACAGTAGAACCCACATTAGCATATAATCACGTATATGCATGTAATTAGCATACATCAGAATGCAGATCTCTCACCACGCAGAGCTGATGGGTGGTAATTATGCATCTCCAGGCACGAATGAGGGCCCATGATTGGGTGAGCGAGGTGGAACAGCCTGTCACTGCGGAGACAGTTGGCAGGGAAACGGAGGACCAGCCAGGAGGAGAGGCCTCGCCAGTGGAGAACAAAAAGGTGGAGACGAAGAAAGACGAAGAGGAGCAGGGGGAGAAGAAGAGTGAGGGGGAGGATACAGAGGCAGGAGAGGGGGAAAAGAAAGAGAGCGACCCCAGATCTGTAGAGGTGAGGTCACCTCAGCAGTGTTATGACTTTTTCTTTTAATGTTAAATTGAGCCACCTTTCCTCCAGCTGTCACCGCCTGATTTGATTTGATGTAGTTATTCTGTGTGTGCTTGTTCATCTTCATCTGCCTCTCTTCAGGCTGTCTACCTGTCATCAGTCGGCAGTCTGGCAGAAGTGACGGCTCGCAGTATTGAGCAGCTCCACAAGGTGGCAGAGCTCATCCTCCATGGTCAGGAGCTAGAGAAACCTGCCAGAGACCAGGCTCACATCCTCACCAGGTACGTGTATGTACAAGTGTACCTATAGTGCTACAGTCGCACAGTTTTCACAGTCACATTGTTGGCACCCGACTTCTTTTTGGGGACATAACCATTACGTAAATCAACAACGTTTAAAATTGTTAACATTTATAGAGAAGATTTGGTTCAAGGTTAGGGTTGGACAAGGAGCAATTTTGGTATATAATTTTGGTAAGTTTCTAAGAAATAAATTTAAGACAATGTAATGTTTTCTGAAGTGATGGAAATACTACGGATTATCTGTGTACTTGTACATTGGTCTGTGAGGACCAGTTTAATTGTTTTTAGTGATGACATTTTTGCCAGTCAGTCTTTGACAGAGCTTGAACAGAGCTGTTTAAGGGTTAAGACTTAATTTTAAAGTTTGGAATCAGGCGTAGTGAGCTACAGAATATATTATGCCTTTACTTTAGCCCTTTTTACATTTGGGATATTTAAAATTATGGTACTGTCAAACTTTTAAAGGAATCGCATTCTGTCATTTAGATTTAGGTCACTTTTACGTTAATGTTTTGATGAGTCCTCACTCAGACGTACCCACAACAGTGATGGAGAGATCCACAGTTAAAGCCCATGAGATTGGACAGTAAATCCAGGTTCAAGGAGCTACTAGTAAAGAACAGACTGAACCTGAAACTGAAACTAATTGCAAGTTTATCAAACTGTCTAAATAACTGTGATTAGCTTTATTTTAGCTTTATTATTATTATTGGCACACACGTTTACTACTCAACGGTCACGCTGTAATGTTAATTTAACACTGACAGTAATGCTGCTACAAATACGATAGAACTCTCCTGGATGGCTTCTTGTTCCCCCTTTTGGCCTTTACTCCTTTAATCTGTGTTTATATCTGTTTATGTGACTGCATTCAGTTCAGACTTGTGCCATGTTGAAAACAGTATGTAAAATGTTACTATGTTCTGTTGTGACTTTTAAGGATGCTTTAAGGAATACTCATTTAGACATGAAGCTAATACATTCAGATGACATCAGATTAAAGGAGTGTATGTCTGAAAGGGGCATAAGATGCAAGTAGAAGTTTGTGTGTGAGAGGAGCACTGCTCAGTAGAGTGAGGACTGCAATAACAAAGAACAATCTACATTTTTTTTTTTTATTATTATTCCAGGCTGACATGTGCCATGTGTAAGGAGGTGGACTGTTTGGCCAAGAAGTTCTCTGATACTCTGCTTCTTGTCGGGGTAGGTGTGTGTGAACATTAGGGGTAAATGCTGCTATCATTCTATGTTTTTTGGTATCGTCAAAAGAATTCATGTAATAACCAAAACCAGCAATACCCTCCTGGGAGCAAGCCTATTCATTTATGTCCTCTGTAGTGGACATTGGTTTTTGATGTATATCTTCTGACTCATTTGAGCTACCCCACTATCCTGGCCTTTCCAAAGATACCTCATGTGTTTGGGTAGGATGAGGGTAACTTTGTTTTCATGCTGAAACGAAATGGAGACGGCAGAAAACCCACTTTTATCCTCAGTTCTCAGAAGGATGTATTAGTGTGTATGTTAATAGCTTCTGACCATTCTATCGTCTCTGTAGCTCTTACCCAGCAAGCACTTGAATGACCGTTGTTTGAACGTCTCAGAATATGAATTGCTGTCCTTCCTGGATGCTCTTGCAAGGGGGAGTCACCTTAATATTTTCTGTCTGTGTTCACTCTTTGTATAAAAAAGAACATAAAAAATATTAATAATGTGGGGGAAATTATAGAAAGGGGGAGCAATAACACAAACAACCAAAACCAGCCTCAAAAACCTTGTTGCAGTTTTTGGTATCTGAACCTGACCACTTTTGGCAGGGACACTACATCACTGTTGGATTGATGTTTATTGGGTTGTCTCAAACCTATTTGCTCCCACTGAAGATGAATCTTTCAGTCCTAAAAAAAAAAAAGGATATACTTTCAAATGACTGAATTTCCCATATTAGCTGGACAACACAGTTTTTATCAAATGTACATCAGATAATGCATTTGTTGGGGATGATTTTCAGCTGCAAATTAATACATATTTGGTGGACTAATGTGTATTTACAGCAGCAGGGTGATGCATGTAGGACTGATTCAAATTGAAACATAGTGGTTGCATTTACTGTAATGTAGAAACATGTAAGCCGCTGTAACAGTTGCCTTGCTGGCAACAATGGAGCTCTGTGGTGCAAATGTAACAGAAGATACATCAGCATCAACCATACAGGAAATATTTGTTAGCAGGATCAGTTTATTGTTAGTTTCTCTTTTTTTTTTTTATCCATGGTATTTTTTGACGCTAAGAAAAGAATTTTTTAAAGTTTGGCTTTGAGTTTTCCCACCATACAGTTCATTCTTAATCAAGACACTGGAGACAGTGAGAACATTGGCTGATCTTGTATTGATCTAATTACTGTTGCTGTGTTTCTTTCAGGGCCAGAGGAAAGCAGAGGACTTGAATCCACTGGTCGATAGTGTGCTGCTAGAGGTGAGACTTTTTGCCCAAATGACCAAGATTATAATCAAGTGAGAGTCTAATGAAATCAATGATTCAGCAGTCTCAGTATTCTGGTGACTGCTAGAAATGTGTTAGTAATAATTGTCACTGATGGGACAATTGAACATGTTTGCCTTGTTAATAGCAACTCGGGTGAGGCGTGCACAGGATGACAAACCATGCATAGAAATAAAGGAAAATTCACAAATACTCAGAACTCAAGTTACAAAAATACTGTATATTTCATTTTTTATTTTAATGTTTTATGCTCTGCTATGCGTATTTAATTAGCTTTGTTGTATGTGGTGTATTCTTTACCTCTGTAATGTTTTGGGTAAAGTTAATTTTCCTCTCAGGCAGACAATATAAGTTGTGTTCTACTCTTTTATTCTACTATATCAGGGGTCTCCAATCCTGGTCCTCGAGAGGATGTTTTAGATGTTTCCCTCTCATCATCAAGCTCTGCAGAAGCCTGATAACGATCCTGATCATTTGAATCAGGTGTGTTGGAAGAGGGAAACATCTAAAACATGCAGGACTGTGGCTCTCGAGGACCAGGATTGGAGACCCCTGTACTAGGTACACTTCCACAGTAAGTACGTGTCATCAAATAAATGCTACTAGAAGCAATTTTTTGCCCAATTTAGTTTTATTGTCATAAGTATATATACGCAATTTACTTTTAACCTGGTCGTCCATATTGGAAATGATGATGATGATGATGATGATGATGATGATGATCATGTGTCTCCTGTCCACAGGGCTCCAACAGTACCAATTACATCCATAATGCATTCCAGCTGCTGCTGCCAATCCTGCAGATCTCCCACATCCAGAGTCAACACTGCAGACCCTCCACAGATCCAGCAGCACAGATACAACATTAACACACACACAAACACACACACACACTACCTGCTCACCTGCTTGTCTTAATGTATCTATTGTTGTACAGAAAACTATAGAGAATAGACATTTCACATTAAGTGCTTTTACCTACATCAAGTGCCAAACAGTAGCAACAGACAGAAGATATTGTTATATATGGCGAATACATAGAGAGAATATAGTCTTAATGACAGCAATTTAATGAATAGATACATCCAGAAGTGTCACACATGCAGAATGTTGGTGTGTCTCTACCACCTTGTATCTCCAAAAGTTATTTTGTCTGTTTTGCAGTTGATATTTTTACATTAAAGAACCAAACGGTGTTCAGTTCAGCATAACAAACAACAGATATCATCTCCAAAAGCTGAACCCAAAAAGAAAAATTACTGATTGTACTGAAGGGACTCTACATTAATGTATATTAAGCTTTCTTTGCACTCTTTATGAACCGTTGTGATTACAGCAGAAAGAGAATTGATTAACACTAGAGAAGTGTTTGTTTAGTTTAACTGTTTTAATCTGGTTTGAGACAAAATGCCAGTATTATTAATTCTACTCAGTAGTTTCTTGGTTGTTTTGTTTATGTGTTAAATTATATGAAGCAACACTACCTTACATTTCATTTACATCTAGTTTGGTTTAAAAGTGTCCTTTTACCTTTTTGCTTCGATTAAAGGTGCAACCTAAATGAATTCATCTCTACTTAATTGTGTGCAGTTGCACTCCAAACAGTAGTGCAACATGATGAGACTCTTGTTTATTCTGTTTCTGCGAAGAATTGGAAAAGTCATACCACTTTATGTACATTAAACATGAAGCTACAACTAGTTAGCTTAGGATGAAGAATGTAAACGAGGCGAACAGCTTGCTTGGCTGCATGTGGCCCAAAAATAGTGTGAAATACAAAATATTATTAACAAAAGTTTTAGTAGCTCCTGTAAAGCCACAAAGGGTCATTTTGAAATCAATATGCTGAAGTTGTTAGCAAATAGTTTCTTGTTTACACATCTAGCAGTTGAGGAGCAGCATTACAAATGAAGTGCAATATTCGTTCATTGTTAGCTCGGTTTTTGGTCTCTGCCGATTCGTGAGGGATGCATCTGGGTTTTAACTGCTGAATATTCTATTATTTTAATCAGCTAGTTACTGGTCAATGAGCTAAAACTCACTATAAAGGTTTGTAAGGCCAATTATAGCTGGAAATTCAGGTGCTAATTCCCTACAAGCCACCTCTGCTATATTGTCACATTGTTTTTACATTGACATTTCACGCATAATTGTTATAAATATATGAATTGTAGTGGCTTAAATACACAAGTTATTTGGGTAATATGTCAACATGTGAGCTTTACAGGTGTTGCTTGGGAATTTTGTTTTGTTTTTTTGGACAAAGCCAAGCCAGCTATTTCGTCCTCTTTCCAGTCTTTATGCAGGGTTGCCAGGTCTGTATGACAAAACCAGCAAAATGTCTAATGAAAACCTGAACAGTAACAAAACTCAAAACATGCAGTGATAGAGAGCTTTATAGTACAGGGGTGGTGTCTTGCCATGTGTGTAGGTGCTGATCTGATTTGGAATCGGTTTGTCTAATTTGCATATAAATTAGTTATTTCATTCAAAATGTGGATTTGTATTCAGACTGTAGAGATAATTCATGTTATTTCCATGTAATATGGGTTCACCCGACCTGTGGAAAAAGAACTGAACACTTCAGAAATGGCCCAATTCTGCAGGAAAACCACAGACCTGGCAACCCAGTCTTGCTAAGTTGAATCTTTTCTGGTGTTTCATATGTCGTGTCTTTTGTGGGATTGCAGATCAAACACTTTGAAGAAAACATTTCATCCAAGTAGATGTTTTTTCAAAATGTTGTCCTCCCGATTCAAGCCTTAAACAGCTTTGCCAGGATCTAAATTTATATTCTTGTTGCTCCCCAGAGATGCATATCACAACCATTTTACAATTTTTTCCCCCGTTTTCTTTGACCACTGTTTCTTGTGACTATAGAGTTAGATTGCTTCTTAGCTTCCAGCCCGCAGCTATTTAGATCTCTGAAAGATAAGTACTCGTCTTACTTCTGCTTCTGCCCTTTCAGAGATACATTCGGCAGGCAAGAAAGCTATTAAGCAAAGAAAATATTAGTCAGTCCTGTCAAAATGTTTTGGCTCCTTTCAGCTGTAACCAGATGGGGTGAGGCTGTTTATCAGCCATGTGTCTCCCTTAGAGCAAAAAATGGTTTGTATTGCAGACTGAAAAATGTTTGAAGGCCTTTCATTTATTTAACTTTGGACAGTTTTGTAATGTATTAAGACTGTCTCCTAATAACGTGCCCTAAGACTGTTTGAAGGTGTAATGTTGAAAATAAACAAGCTTTAACCATCTTTATGTGGCTCAATATTTTTTATTGTCCCCATAAAGGTGGCTGATAGGTGAATACAGTCATTTCTGTTCTCGTCCAGTGTGCTTTAGGATAGTTGTGTTGCACTTGTGTCACCAGGCCTGATCCTCTGTGATGAGGGAGGTGAACGGATGGCCACGATGATGCAGATTGGCTAAAGATCGATAAGGTAAAAAAAGAGTTAGATGAAAGTTAAAAAGGATTAAAATGAGTTGATCTTAAATCTTACACTTTGTTGTCGCTTTAAGGCTTTGACCATGACGCTTATCTTACAAACACTCAATATACAATATATAGTTAAATATAGTACAACCAACAAATAAATCATTATGAGTTATGTTTAAATGTATTTTGATGCTAATATACATGTACTTTAACTTAAAGGTACACCAGAGTTTCTGATCTCTCATAGCTCTATTGAGCAGTTCAGAAGTACAATGTTGAATGCATCCCTTTTATTTCTGACAGCACTTTTATGTTTTCTCATCAATCACAACTAATTAATCAACAATAATACATGCTACAAGTTGCCTCTTCGACCTTGTGAGATTGCTCTGATAGTGAGTTTACCAGTATAGCAGTGGTCAACATTTCCATCCAGCAGGGTTTCTATGTCATCTGAAAAATGGACGTGAGGACAGTTAACACACAAACTCACAGAAACACTTGTGTAAATGGGATCTGAGTCATTTCTCTTAATTTGTGAAGGTGTGTGTCCCTACTTTGACTGTGAGCTTCTTGAATAGTTGAGAGTCCTATTCCTTGAAAAAAGACAAAAGTTGTCAAAAGATTAAAATAACACATCAATCAAATGATTATAGTTGCATTGAATAACTGACCCGACCAACCCTGAAACGCATGTGAGTGGAAGACTGTCGCTGTTGGACAATTAGAGTTCCTAAAATAGATCTTATAATATCAAAGAAGTTGAAGTGTTATTGTGCGATTTACCTTTAGAAGTGATGATTTCCACTTGCTTCTCTCCATCTAGATGAAAGAGCATCAGAAGCATACAGCAAATCAGACATTTTGTGATTATTATTGTTCATTTCATATAGAGATGTGCTGCCATCTACTGAAAACTTCCATCTGCAACGTGTCCTCTTGCTATTAAGAAACAACAGACCCACAGAGAGGCATTTCACACAGCTATGAGACAACTGACATGCTATGAAAAATTCAGGTTATCTGCATAATTACCTTTTGAGATTCCTCTGCATAATGAAAAGTGGGCTGATGTTCAGATGAACGTGACATGCTCTGATGCAGTGATATATGATTAATAAGACTACTTTAAGCTAATGCCATCAGGATTGTCTTTTAGATTTACTGTACAAGAAGGAAATTAGATTTTATTCAAAAAGCAGGAAGACTTGTAAACAGCTGCAGCACAAGAGGGTATCAGTTTACCACGACTGAAATGCACTTTCACTTTTCACACTTTTTGACACCCTTTGTAGTGTTGGATATTGTTTTACAGCCCTTTAAACCTTGTGTATCGCAAACTTTTCCTACATTCTCATATTTTAGATTGGGTTTATGTGTGTGAAATGATTTTTGTGTGCATTTTCGCTTGCAAATGTGCTTTCCTTAAGTTGCCCCTCAAGGGATAGAAGTTTTTGAATTGATTATTCCAAAATACCAGGCTCACCTTTAAATGAACTTTTGGCTACAGGGATTGAAAGAGAGAATTGTGAAAGTGTTTCTAGGTTTGTAGGGTGTTGACACACACTGTTAGAATCTGAAGTATTCGAAATGTGAAGGAGAAAAATATATTTAATGTGGCATAAAATTCAGAACACACACCTTTTGCTTGTTTATCGAATAAAAGGTGACCAGTACAGTTGCGACCAACCGGACGCACCTTGGGCTTTTCTGGCAAAGAAAAGGACATTTCCATGTAATTTTTGAATCATCAAACTCATCCAGTGACCAGGTGTTTTTTTGTGTGTGTCTTACTGCATAAGCATTTCCCATAGTAGATTTGTGCGATCACAATTGCGACTATAATCAGGAGCACGAGACACAGCAGAGCCAGCCAGAGGACTCTGAACATACACTGCCACTCATCTGGAGGACACAGAGGGATTAAGACAGAGACAGGCTTTAGACAGAGCAGATCTCTGCCTGCAACAGTTTTCACTGACAGAATATTCGGTTAAACTAATCATTTCAGCACTAAATATCTCATTATCACGATGTGAAAACAATAACATATTTTCATCGAAAAAGAATAGATGCACAGAAGTGAGAGCACATTATAAACGCAAGTGCAGGAAACAAAGATATAAAAGATATACAAGCAAAGGAAAATGGGAAATAACTGCAAAAAGAAATGGAAAGGCAGGGGAGCATACGGAAAAGTCTGGTGGAAATGGGGCAGAACAATTGTGAGTGAGATGGATATCCAGCTTTCATCATGCACACTGGAAAATATGACATAGTGGTAGCTTTAAGCATGGAGGAGTGCTGGAGAGCTGAACAGAAAGAAAGCAATCCAAAATCAATACAAGCTTGGAGATCGAGCAAGATTAAGATGTACTGTAGTCTTGGAAAGATCATACAGTACAGAGAGAGAGAGAGAGGAGAAACAAAGTCACAGAGCTGAGATTGGAGTCAAGGGAAGAGAATTTGAAGGAAATTTGTTCGATTGAAAAAAATGACTCCATTGTGGACTGAGAGAGAGGGCAGTTTTGAATGAAATGAAAACTGATTGGCCAATTTCCTTGTCTGCTATTGTCCCCTCTCTCCTCTCATCTCCTCTCCCATCTTAGAGCAAAGCCACACTGGCCACACTGGCAACAAAGAAACTCTGCTCCTTCATCCCGACACCAACCTTTCTGTGTCCGTTTCCATGGCAGCTTTTCCTTTGCTGTTGCAGTCAAAACTGTTTGATTGGCGAGCCAAAGGAGACAGCGGCTTTGATTGGCTGTTCCAGAGGTGGGAAGGAGAGGGAGACAGCAGTAGAAAGCCTCCCTCTGTCCTTCATCATCCCCCTTCGGCTCTTCTTCCTCCTCAGGTGGGTGGAGGTGTAAAGAGCTGTGATTACTGCGGCCGTACAGGGTGAGATTCAGGGTCTCTGCATTGCCGAGTTGAAGCTTGACTGACACCTCCAGATGTAACTGTACAGCTGTGGATGGACAGATAGATGAGTGCACTGGTGGGAACATAGAGGCCTTAAATTATCTACTGATGTTAGACTAAGGGTCTACACTGTAAAAATGTTAACATGTTTAGCAAATATGACATGAATTGAGCTTAATCAGATTCTTAAATTAGCTTTCTTTCAAGAAGATTAACTAGTCGGTTGGTCTGTTGAACCTCAAAAACACATTTCAATGGATTTGAACTTGTGACTCTGTCCTTTTAGAGGATGTGGTGGCCCATGTAAAACCATCAGGTTTCCCTCATGATGTGGCCCCGCCCCACTTCTTTAAAGAAGTTTTTTCTACCACAGGGTTCATTTTAGGACCCCTGCTTTTCTCCGTGTACATGCTTCCCTATCCTCAGAAAACATGGTGTCGCTCTTCATTGCTATGCTGATGACAGCCAGATATATGTCCCCCCTGAGGAAAAGTGATGCCTTTTCTCTCAAACCCCTGCTGTCATGTCTTGAAGGTGTTAAAGCCTGGATGGCCCTAAACTTCCTAAATTTCAATGAGAAGAAAACAGAGGTGATTGTGTTTGGCCCTAGCTGACTCCCCATGTACAGCACTTTGTTTCAGCTGTGGCTGTTCTAAAACGCTTTATAAATAAAGTTGATTTGATTTGACTGATTTGATTTGATTCCTTCCACAATCGTGTTACAGAAATACATGTCTTTCATTTAATAATTATCTGTAAGCCTGAACAGCCAAACTTTTAGTTTTTAGCTCTTATGTTAATTGGGCTCAACTGATTTAATATGCTGCTGATGATCACAGGCAAAGATGAAAGTCAGAATATGATGCCGAACAGGAAGCTAGATTTAAAACTGAGCCTGCTATTGGTTGCTGAAAATGTCATTAGTTTGCCAGTATTTAATTGAAATTCTGACCTGATGATGGTGCTACATAAAGATTCACCAAATTGAGCACAATTTATCCCGAGATGAACATTAATTTTTTACTGCAATACATCAGAGGATTACTAAAGTCATTAGAATTCATCCTCTGGGCCACATGAAAGTCTTCAAAATTTCATTTCCATTTATTAGCTGTTAGCGGCATATTTCATTCTTGACAATAAGACTGAGCCACACCGCAAGCCCTGCTAAACAGTACAACAACTTATGATTAGTATTTTGCCTTGTGATACCTGAAGATGAGGCATTTCTGTATAATTCTGCCATGTCCGTGTCTGTTTTACACATGAACCAGCTCACATTTGGATTGTCTCTGCCTCTCCTGGAGTCTGACGCTGAATCGGTCTCGTTGCTTTGATTCTCCCCAGTGCAGGCCTGCTCCCCCTGAGTCTGAGAAGGGTCACACACATCCCTTTTCCTAATTTCAGCATTTCCAGTCTTTCCGTGTTCCCCCTCCTTCACCTGATCTCCTCGTTCGCAGGGCTCGTAGGGAAGGCACAGGAAATTCACTTTTGATACTGAAAGGATGAAGAGAACGAACAACAGAAAATTCAGAACGATTTCTCAGCAGAAGCGAGCATAAAGTGGAGAAACAGCAAAGTGCTCTCGAGTTAGAGCAAGATCTCAAAATGGAAGCTGGTGCCTCCAGTTTGTATCTGACAGGGAGGGAGAGAGACAAAAAGAAAACCACTGAAGGCAAACACGACATGAGTACAAAGGTTAAAGAAAGCTGCTCTCATAAAGATCAGTGTTTTCAAAGCAACACAGTACGGAAACATTTTCAAAGCAGCTGTCAGTCAGTGTTGTGTGGAGCTATATTTGGGTCTGATTTTTATCTCTAAAAGAGAGACAGGCAGGCAGGCAGGTCGAATCAGAGTGAGTCTACATACACAAGTGCCTTGACAAATAAGTTTACCTGTTTTAAAGCTTGACTTTGGTATGAAGTTTGAACAAAACAACTATGAAAGCTGAGCCACAGTAAACATATCTTTAAATTTAATTCTTTAAATGGACCTAAACTGATGTAATGTAGAGCGAAGCACGTGGACACACACACACACACAGATATGCAGACAGAAGAGATAAATGTCCTTCTGAAGCTGAGAATATGACCCACCTCTGTATATGGTGAAGAATTCTGGGAGGCAGATGATGAAAGCAAGGATCACGAGGAGAAGAAGTTTAGTCACCGCCGCTCTTGTCATGGTTAAGACATACGATCACACACACACACACACTTGTTTATGCCGACAAAGGCATGACTTGTGGCTCGTGGTATCTCCTTCCGTCTTGAGTTTTTAACAAACACGCGCATTCACAGCCTCTCTCAGCCCATCAGAGCGGCCTTTGGCAAAGTTTAAGAAGCCCCAACGATAATGTTCATAATTCATGTGGAGGCAGTCGACAACGTAACGAGACACATGTGCACAGTGCAAAGCAACTTCACTTCCTATTACACTTCCTGTCATTTTCTCAGAAAGATTGAGAAATAGAATGTAAAGCTGCAGGGACCGCAAAAAAGTTTTTCTCAGCAGAATGTAAGTAGTTGCACGTCTGTTTTGAGTGTGGGTATGTGTGAGAGTGACCATAGTCCCCTGAGATGAGATGAATAGACTTGATGAGACTTTATATATGATTTAAAGGTAACGTGTGAATGTTGAGTTAGCTGGTAATGTGTTGTGTGTATGTTTGATTTATCTGTAAAGAGAAACCAGCTTATGGTTTGAATCTCTGTATGTAAAGCAGAAACAAAGAAAAGTTTCTTAATACCTTAAGATAATTTAAAAAATGGTCATCTGTGGTAAAACTCTACCATCTGTTTGAAATGCTGATGAAAAAATGGGTTCAGAAACTCCCCATAATTGGTGGTCTGACCTTTCATTGTTTTTCTTATAATTAAGAGTTATAATTAAGTTATGAGAAAATTGTGACTTGGCATTTAACAAGTATGACTTTGTGTCTCATAATTAAGAAATGCCCAAAATTAAACACAATAGAGAAATTCTTGCCATAATTATGACCTAGTATTACATAGTGTCTCATAATTAGATGTAATTCTATGTGAGCTACTAATTACTAAATGTCAAATAAGTCATAATTATCACACACTATAGTATTATTTTATTTTATAAGCCATAATTATGAGAAAGCTTAGTATTATCATGCAAATAAACTATAAGGTCCTTAACTCATAATATTCCTGTTCTCAGTTATGATATATTATTAGTATTTTGTATCATCATTATGACTTTTGTTGATTATAATATTTATTATGCAGCTGCATAGGCTGTATTATACATTTAAGAACATGCCTCATAATTATTTATATTATATAATGATTCAATAATATACATACATCAGATAATAAGTCATGAGTCATTTATTGAATTTCCCTTCTGGGATGAATAAAGTATTTTTCATTCATTTCATGAGTGTAAAATTGTTTCTTGTAGTTATGAGATTCTAAGTGATAATTTTAGGATTTAAACTTATGAAAAAACTAAATAATTTATTCTAATCCTATGAAAATTTCCATACAACTTGTTTTCTTCAGTTAATTTTGCTACACAGCTGAGACCTTAAAGGTGTTTTGGTTGCTGCTGGAGAAGAAATGACCTTTCTGTTTATCTTTTTATTCTCTAATCTATTCTGAAAAGAATATGTATTTTCCCTTTGTACCTTCTGACTTGATCTCTGTTGGGTGTTTAGTGTAGCTCCGATTTTACGGTTGGGTTCCTGAGAGCCACTTATCTTTGCAGGTCTGGGACTGGAACACACACACACACACACACACACACACACACACGCACACACACACACAGTGAGGTTTAGACGGACAAACACACATCCTCAAACCCACAAACACAGTGATGAGTGTGGCTGGCAGGTGGAGCCTTATCTCCACTCCACAGCAGCCTGCCTCTCTCAGGGCTCAGTCGGCAGCTTATAGAGAAGGATAGAAGCTGCCAAAACTCAAAAAAAAAAAAAAAAGGAAAAAAAAAATCACTTTCTGTGCTTTTATGTCCAATCAAAGCTGCTCGACACTTGCAGCATTTCCAAATAATTTGAGCATATAGTAGAAATGCATTTACCACCACACTACCAGTGGTTGTTGATGGAATTATGCCATGTACAACACAGTTGTATGTTTCTGTTTGTGTATCACAGTGAAAGTGTCATAGTGGAGATACTTGAATCATTTCCTGATAATTTTCCTGATTAAAATCAATTTATTCAGTTATAACTGAAGGGAGCATTGTGTTCAATTACTATACAGGCAACTAATTAATTAGAGGTAATTAGTTGGGAGTCAATGTGCAGCAAGCAAGTAAAACTTTATTTACCTTCATGTCAATTTTGCTTTTTTGATGCAGTTTTGTTGCCTCTTTTGGATTTGAAAGATTATCTATCATAGTGTATCATCTTAGTGTTTAATTTTTCTACATTTCTCACAAACTCGTTGTCTTTCTTTGTCTGCTTTATTTTACTGTGTGTCCCTGGTGTTGTTGCTTCCACCCTTCTGTGTCTTTCCCACATTTTTGATTGTCTAGTTTCACCCTCGCCTTGTTTCTCAATTAGTTCTCTGTGTGTTTATGGTCTCTCTCCTTCCTTTAGTTGTCATTTCGTCTGTACTCCTCGTCAAGCTCCTTGTGTTCGTTGGTCAAGGGTATTTGTTCTCATGTGTGCGTCAGATTTTTTGGAGAACTTCTTATCTTGGGTTGACTCAAACCGTGCATCTGCCTGGCCTTCTGTAGATCTATATCACCTTAACATTAATGCTTGAGTGTGTTTGCTGTGACCTTGGCATTTCTACTACTGCATTTCACTTGCTTAACCATTTTCAAAACTCCCTTCACTGCAGCAAACAACAACAGCTTCTGTGCAGCAAACTTAATGCTAAAAGTTTTGCTGGCAAGTTTTGAGTCATGCAATCAATAAGTTCTGCTTGGTTCTTTTAATAAAATTGCCATTTTAATGTCAGAACTTAGCTACATGCATGTGAATGTTCCAGCAAAACAATTCCATCCATCACTACTTTGCAGGGGCATCTTCACTACATCCTGGGCTTCACTCTTCCCAAGACAATTTTGATTATTTTTAAGAAATACAAACAAGTCAAAGCAGGTTTCCCCTGTAGTAGAATAATGATGAGGTGCAGGCAGCTCATTCTTCTCTGTGCGAAACTAGAAGAGGAAGGAAAGCCCCACCCTGCCATGGTGTTGCCTGCTTGTTTCGCTCATATGTGTTCTTCTTCTAGCACATAGTTTTTAATTGAAGGTCAAGCAAATATTTAAAAATAAGGGCAAATTAGTATAATAGTTCTTGAGCTAAGATTTTAATGTATTTCTGTTTGCATTTAGTTTTACAGCAGGTTATCTGAATGTTAAAATAATACATAATTGCACTCAAGCACACAATTAAACATATATGAAGAAAAGGCCTTCACTAGTAAGTGAATCATCAATCAGTATTTACAAGAGTTAAAACTTTAATTTTAAGAACACTTTAGTTTTACCAATAAAGAAATATTAGTTCTCAGAAACCATTAGGAAGTCTTTTGGATGTAATATAAAAGGTTATCAGGAGATTTGATGTGTTAAGAACAGATACTGAACTTTTTTTCCTCTGCTATTTGGTTGGTTAACTATCAAACCGCAGCAAATGTTACCTGACAACAGGTAGTATTGATTTTGGTACAGATAAATAATTGGACAAGTGACTCCGATGCAAAACATGCTACTGTAATTATTAAAATGACATTATAGTGTCTTTCATATTATTATTTTATTTATATGTGTGGAATTTTTAAACTTTACTTTATGGTTCCTCTTGAAAACTTTGGGTGAAATATATAAAAGACAGAGAAACAAACATTTTACCTGCTTTTAAATTTTTTATGCTTAGTGTGTTATCTCACAGCTGCACGGTTCCACACACATGATGCTAGCTGAGAGTCACAAGATAGAAGACGAGGATTAAATGCTGGATCAAAATGGTCTATGGTGGCTGTGGCGATGGAGTGAAATTGATATTCCACATTTTTCAGGCGACCAGCTGGAAACCCCTCCAGGATCTTTGAGCGTCCTTGAAACCTGGCAAGAAAACCACAGGTATGGACTCGCTTCCTTATTGTATTTGTGTGTGTGACTGACAAACTGCTGTGTAATTGTGCTGTGGGTAACTAAGGCACCAGCATTAGCAAGAACGTAAACCTCCTTTTAGTCTTAACAGCATGACTCCAAGGTTAGATGCTACTTTGCTGCCTGTAGAGTGCCAGAAAGCTGATAAATTATAACTGGAGGCGATTGGGTGGAAGCTCTGGCAGATGGACTTGCAGAGACCTGGATGGAGGCGTCCACAGAGAGCCAGGGGCCTGAGAGGAAAGCCAGGTGTTCAAACCCTCTTCAGTCTGGAAGTTGTGCTTCCTGTGTCATTGCTTTTCCAGCAGCAGGGGTGAAGTATGGAGAAGTCAGTTGACATTGTGCCTGCTCAGAGCAAGATACCTTGACAGCTAGTGATATATATATACAGTGTATATATATATATATATATATATATAGTGGGAAACAACCACCAGCAAACATTTTGTTATTCCTCTGACCACTCATGTAACATCACCATCAAGGTATGAAAAGAAAAAAAGGTATTTTAAACAGGGTAAAGCGAGAGGCCAGATTTCTATTGAAGGCATATTTTGACATATTGTGAAAGAGTTTGTAGATTGATGCCACTCTTGTGTCTGTACATTAAATATGAAGCTGCAGCTGACAGACTGGGAGCAGGTGAAACAGCTAACCTGGCTCTGTCAAAAGGTGCCAGAAGGATTGCTTGCAGTACGGCTTAAACAAACAGGTTGTACGTGTTAATTATTGAGCTCTTCAGGTGCAGGTCAGTGGATATTTTTAAGCTTTGTACAGAGTAAGGCTAGATTAGAATTATTTATTTATTTATTTATTTATTGCATTTTTGCATTGAAAGCAGATGGGAAACAAGGGGAGAGATATGAGTGAATGAATCCCAAACTGGAACCAAACACAGAACATTGCACAGAACATGGTTTTCTCATAGAGTGTATTAGAAGAAGGACATTGTGACCATGATGTCACGCTCTTGTTTGTGGACTACCATTTTGAAGCCTTCAGTTTGGCATTTAGTTGTGTCCATCTTGCTCTTTTGACACCAGATGTAATGAGTAAGGGATTGGTTCTTACTGAAAACTGGACACTACACGTGCTTATACAGTAGCAACATGTCAATCAAAAGCTAAACCCCACCCTAAAGAATTCTATTTTTGGATAAACGTGTGGAAACACTGCTTTGTTGCCGATAATGCTGTTTCATTATAACAACACTGCTGAAGCTTCATTTGAACCTCTGGATTCACAAGT